TTATCAAAAACTATAAAGCCGGGAACTGAAAGCTTTGTTGAGACGTATACTCCGAAGTGTCCTCTACAAACTGGTAAAAGGAAACGGGTAGGGGACCTCCCCTTAAGAGGTGAAATTAAAATCTGACAGAAGGATTCAGCTGAAATTTTAGGCCATGGATTAGGACTGTTAGTGGAAGATTTTCTGTAAGTTTCATTCTTGAACTCTTAGAGGTTACTGAGGCCACTGCTGAAGATTCAAGAATGAAACTTTCAGAAAACCTTTCCTTTGTCTTGTGGACAAGGTAGATATTATCCAGCATACATTTAGTAATAAACTGGCAATTCCACAAAGTAAAATGAAACTAGGTGAAGAGAGCCTATTCCTATGTGTCATAAATAATGTAGGAATTTTCGCTCCTTTCATTTTCAAATTGTAGTTAATTTTTGTCATGTATCATTCATGATAATGACCTAATAAAAGGGTCGAAAGGTCGAAACAAGGACTACTTTAAAACTGCTGTTGTTGCTCTAATATTTATATTAAAGCGAAAAGTAAGTTTTGGGCATAATACTCGATTCTGTTCGAATACTCGATCAATTTTGCAAAAATTCTTTTCATCTTGATGTTTTGTTGGCTCGTGTTTCTATTAGTTTATATTGGCGGCGGTCACTGCCTGATTTTCTGAGGGTGGAAATTACAGCTAGACAACTAAACGTGGACAAATCCGAGGTCGTTCCCAATTATGCAAACGAAAGAGACCGATGTTTCACTTTTATACCAGTATGCACACAAAACTGGTCAAAACATTTATATATCTCGGGTATGCGATAACATCAGCTTATTCATTTGATGGACTCCTCTCTTCTCAAAAACACATCTCGCTTCCTCTTTTCATGCCATTTCTTGTTTGTTTCTTTAGTCGAAAATGTTGTCAATAAGTCTTTAGCCTTGTGATTTCTTTGCTTTGGTCTGTCCGTTTTGGAAAAAAATAGACGCTTTTTGGAAAATATTTTCCACATTAGATTTCCAGAGGATCTTAAGGAAACTAGGTTACAGCTCAAAACTTTAAACTATAAGCTTTTTTCACGGATAGATAATTCAAAGTGTCCTCTTTCAATCCTGAAAATGAATGGGATTATAGATTATTGACTATACTGAGTCTCGTGGCAATGTTTGTTTTCTAATATAAGTTAAAAACTCAGTAATAACCTATATTAGGTGTAATCAATCACTTGTTTGGCTCTATGGATCGAAAATGAAAAAGTTCATAACTCATTTAAAACGGATTCAGACTGCTTGAGAACATAAACTCTTTTGTAACATTCAATGTAGAGTTACATTCCAGGGTTTGTGGGGTCCTTTTTCTCTCAAACAAGAAAACATATATTTTCCTATTAAATATGATTTTGTTAGCTTATGAAATTTGTTATACATTCTCGAGTTATTTCAAAAAACATCCGCGGTCTTATATATCGAAATGGATGTGTTTCGCGAAATGTCTCCAATAAACAATGCTTAAATCGGTGGCTATAACTCTACTATTCTTTATAAAATGTATTCACCGTATTATCAAAAAACGAAACGATTCAGCTTAAATATGAAACTACATGTAAATATAATTACAACTAGAATCACAATTAGTTGAATGATAAACAGTTGATGTTTGACTGTAACACCCTGTTGAATATGTGAACTAATAAGGAGCCATAGTCGAAACTGGTCTATGGCTATGGACGGTAGAGGATCAGTCAAACATCGATAAACATGTGGGATATACATGCCATTTATTAAGAAAACATTGCATTCTTTTAAAAATTGTCAAGGCCAGGTTAAGCTTTTAGTAATATCTACAATTTAAAAACGCACAAAATACAAATTTGGTCACAGGCACTTCTCTATCAACGATTCGTCTGATCAATATAGTTCCTTGGAACTTTATGTTTGTTGTAGTATGTAGATGTTTCCTTTCTGCAGACGAAATTTTATCCGAGCGATAGTTCAGGAGTTACATCGTGAATATTGCTTTTTTCCAGCATACTTGTTATTTTATTTATGAGCTGAGTCATAGGCGCACTAGCTATAATAAAGTGATTTTCGACAGACGAAGGGCATTATGATATGTAAGTCACGATTAAGTGTGTTGCATACGCCAAAGGAAACTGTGTATATGTGTAGGTAATTAAACTTATCTTTATACTACTGAACATAATAAAATAAAATGTTATTCGGTTATAATATAAGCAGATTTATGAGATTTTAAGTGAACAACAATGTGGCGGAACTTTTATTTTGCAAAATTGCACACTGAATATTATTTATTGACTAATAAAGCTATTATAAAAACATTTCAGTACAGCAGCAAAACATTTAATTAACTCGTTAATATCCTATCGGCTCATTCCTACAATGTTTGCACTTTAGTTCAGTTTTGCATAACATTCCATTTGTTCAACTCTGCTAATTGTTAAAAATATTGTTCTTCATCAATTTCACTTGTTTGGGTAAAATACTAGCTAGTTCGTTCGAACTACTCAGAATCCGAACTTTATCTACTTCAGTACCTTTTATAATTTATGATATTCATTCCAGGACTGCTATTTCTAAGCGCGTACTCTCCTTAAGAGTTTCTTGTATTTCGATGCCAGCTGAAATAGAAACTGACATTAAAAAGATGGCTACTAGGATGACACTCTACTATTACCAACCTATTGGGCATCATATTATTGCTGGTAATAGTAACAATTCATAGATTACTATTACTAAGCAATAGTAATATGTATCATGTGAATGACCGTTAATTTATTTGTCAATTACATTCAACAATGACAATGTATTTTTTTCTGGAACTGACATAGCTAAGCTTCATTTCTTCTCAGTGTTGAAGATGTATGTGCAAACACGAGCTAAATTATTTTAATCGCTTTATTGTTTTTACGTCGACAGACATTATATAATCGTTTAGAGATTCTTTTTCTTGTTTAGTCATTTTTTTCTGCAAAATGTGCACGACGTGATTTAGCGTACTACACTACGTAGAAAAATTCTGAAAACGGGAGGATAGTCTCTGGGTACTGCAGATTGACAAATACATGTTCTTTTTCGAGCATAAGTCCAGAGCCGGCGCCATAAGCTGCACAAGTAAAAGTAAAATGTTTTCGAACTTAGAAACTTTTCGTAGGAGTTGATTGTCCGCACCATTTATTCTTGAGACGAAATATAAGAATATAACAATAATTGTTTCTCTCTCATTTCTTCAAATTTCGCTTTCGTTCATTTTTCTTAAATCTATCTTTTAGGCAACTAAAAGCATAACGAACGTGATGCAGTGAACTCCCTATTGGCTGCGGACAGCTTCTGGGAGATTCAATCAGGTACAGTCTGTCAACATCGCAACTTGTGCGCAGCGCAATTGCTCTCTAGTTTCTTGTTTTTATTCAGCAACTTCTGTTGATTTCTTAATAACATCAGCTGTCGCAACGTTGTTGGCGCTAATGATGATCTGTGTTTTCGCTGAGTATATATCCAGCTACGCTGCATCTCGACTCACTGGCAACTGAACTAGTTGAAATGACATTCTATGAACGCTCTGATGACCCCAATTTGGGCAGACGGCGTTCATTCTCAGTACAAAAATTGTTGGACTTTTTATATCCGATTTCATTGTCGATACATAGCAACCAACTTCTTCTTTGACAGTGACTGATTTTGACTCTCCATATGCTGTTCGAGTTGTAGCAGGAGATTGCCCCTTGCAGCCGTTAAAATACTGATTCAATGATGATGTTCTCAACGTGGATAGCAAGTCTTCGCTTTGTTGGGATTTAATGGATCTAGAATTTCCAATTCTTGAATGATAAGTTGCTCACCTGCTACTACACGAATCGAAGAATTAAAATGATTATATGTGAATGAATTCAGGAATGATATGATGAATCTAAAAAGGACAACAACAAGAACAGATTATTTATCGCTAAGTAGTTTTCCACACACATGTTAGTCGGCTAGAACGATGAGTAGTATAACGAAAATTTCTGTCTATTTTACTTAGAGGAGGTCTAGTCGATCTTGTGTACGAATGGAAGAAATTTTCAGGAGTTGCTAGCTATTAAAATTTATTCGTATTTAGATCAATACAAACTAATCGATTGTGGTCTTTGGGACAATTATCTTTCACGATTGAAGTTTGTCTAAACACTGTTAGTGGTACAGTACTCAAAAAGTAATTCATTTGTGCTGGATTACGATATGAGTCAAAAAACAACAAAATTATGGTCAGCAGCATTACTGATTCTTGCTATATCGCGTTGTTCTAATAAGTTTAACCATGGTATAAAGTACGAATTTAATCTATCTACTAATGTACACTGTTCGAAACGTTTAAATATATTATGAACCCATTCCGTAGCATGTCGATTACGATTGTTAAATGAGGAAGAAAACAATGAGTAGTGAGAAAGTCTCACAGCCGATTCAAGTATGAACTTTTTGGTGTTTACATCCTTTCCCCTCAAGGTTAACATCTGTAATCGCCCTCTTATTTTCCATTAACAATAGTAGTGATATTATGAATTCCACCCAACTATGAGCAGCATCTGGATGATCCAAATAATATGAATAATCGCTATATAATAAAAAGTTTTATAGTATATTGGATGATGATAATAATTATTTTAACATTGATATCACATCATCTTGCTTTTCATTACTTTTACCAGCATTCACCACTCTTATCTCAAAACAACACGGTCTCCCAACTTACATAAATCTTCGTCCCGTTTTTCTATATTATCATCGTCCATTGTTACATTGCCCGTCCTACAATTTTCTTGAAAAAGAATTCAATATTGGGAATCAGCATCAAATTCTGCATCGAATGACGTATTTGATTCACTCGAACATCGACTTTCGACTTGGATGTAGAAAAAATATTGGAACGTAATTTAAATGAATGGATAAAAACTAAAAAATTAGCATTTACCAGAAGAAATGAACAGAACTATAAACTGGTATTGAAATGCATGGAAGCGCGAAAAATTGCATATAAATTGAGTAATAGTTATTTGGGTCAGTTTGCATGTATCGAATGTAAATTGTTAGCTGCAAGAGATTTAGCAAAATTCAACGTTGTTTTACCTCAGATTGATGAAACTAGATTGTTGGGAGAAGGTAGTTATTTTCATGTATACGAAGCACAGTGGGCGAATGAAAGAAAATTAGTTGTAAAAAAGTTAAAAGATCTATTAAATGATTATCCTTATATTCAATATTTGGAAGCTATATTATTATATTATTATCGAAAAATAACTCGCTTAGAGTTGCTCCATACAGGTCTTCTCTTATACCTGTACGAATATCCAAGTCGGGATGAAAAGATCGATGGGGATCTGTGGATATATTCTTACCAAAATACAGATAGAATTTGAGCGATTATTTAGAGCAAAATATAAAAGATATTAAAATGGATAAAGTGTTGCAAATTAGTTTAGACATAGCTCATGCTGTTGATGAATTGCATAAAAATGAGCTGGTACATCGTGATATCAAAGCTAAAAATATATTACTTGATGAAAAAGATAGTTGTTATCTATGTGATTTTGGTACTTGTAAAGAAGGAACCTTGAATAATACCATCTTAGGACCAATGCCTCTAGCACCTGAACCTTTGGTTGGCGCACGAGTTAATCCTTCATTGGTTTCCGATGGTAAAGCTGTCGATATATTTGCTTTTGGACTACTAATGTATGAATTATCACCAAAAGCTAAGCATTACCCTCCTCATATCAGAAATACTAATGAAATAAAAGAATTTTTGAAAAACGTTTATCCATTAGAAAGAAACAAAGTATATGAGGAAATGTGTTTACAAACTGAGGCAAACGCTAGTCCAAATGCGCATAAGGTTGTAAAACAATTAGAAGAAATTCAAATGAGTTTAAGAGAAGTTAAAAAAGAATGCCAAATCTGTATGAACAACGGGAGGAAACTTCGGTTTTATCTGTGCGGTTATAATGTTATGTGCACATCGTGTTTGATTGATTTGCAACAGGCGAGTAAAAATAGAGAAGTGATTTGCACTCACTGTAGTAGAAAACTAGAGAAATGGGAACAAGATGATACTGATGATACGTTTTGTTTAAAAAAATAATATCAGATATGAATTGATGAAAGCTTGTTTACTTTATTTTGTACATCGAAAGCCAGGTTTTTCAATTTGAATTGTTTTTGTGATACAAAATCGTTTCTCTTATACTGCCAGATTTTTTCTTAGGTTTTTTATTAATAATAACAATACTATACACAGCGATTATACACGATAAATCGAGTGATCATACTTCATCTCCATGTAAATATTTTTCAATCGTAGACGCGTCTGAAAACGCGTTTTATGTTGCGTTTAATCTCACTTAATTTTTTCCACGCGTGTGTTCATTAGAATCAAGTTAATTATAAGATTTTCCACTTAGTATTTTCTCCCGCACTGCCGAGGAAACATTCCCAAGTGAGACACTCCGACTTTGTTCAAACCTGGCAATGGTCTCATTTGATGCAAAATTTGCAGGCTACAATTCCAACATGTTGGTAAAACATTGCTACGGTTTCGAAGGATTTCTAGAAAACCGATTCTACAGAAAAACGCTAGGAAAAGTCTATGGGCGCAAACGGCTATCATATTCGTAATCAATGCCCTTGATTTCATATAAATTGCCAGATTTGAACAAAGTCAGAGTGCCTCACTTGGGAATGTTTCCTCGTAAGAGATGACGTTCAATCATACTTTAAAAACCAATAGACAGTGTGGCAGAAAATAATAAGGATATGAAACGTATACAGAAGCGAAGGATGTAGAAGATAATCGATGAGAAATAACAATATATGCACACAATGAGAGAAATCACTGAAGAGAGAAGAAAAAAGGATGAGAAGTCAATGGGAAAAATGGATATATTCTTTACAGTGTCTCTTGACATGTAAGTAAAAAATTACAGATGAATTAATGTGAAGTGCTACCTTTTGTAATAAAATTAGTTCTAGACACTCTGGCGCGTGTCCGCAGCTGGAACCCTTTACGGAAGTATTAACGAGAAAGTCGCGCTGTCCCTATACACTTCTCGAGTTTCACTAGTGGTCACTTGGCAAAAACATCGCATATACGTTTCCGTGAACTGTTCACATCTGGTTACATGTCGATAACTTTTCCACACGTGCTGACATATTTTTTCACTTGTCACCACTCACAAAAAATATAATGGGAAAAATTTTGGTGCACAGTTCACGAATGCTCACAAGCGACTAATTTTTTATCGCGTACCAACACAGTATTTATCTGCGCTCACATTTCGTTTCACGACGTTCACTGGTGTACACGCCGTGGTATCTACTAACATTTCTCATGGAATGCCTAAGTAAGTTGTAACTTTGAAAAAGTCCTTAACTTAGTTTCAAGTGATTTCAAGTGAAACCTTTCAAGTGGTTTACTTAAATTCGATCGTTTCAACTTATTAGTATCATAATTTATGAGCGTCGCAACAACGGTTTCAATACGGACACATTGACGTTTACATTGCTTTTTATTTTTATTTGCTTTCAATCGATTAACAGTAATCGTTGCAGCTATTTGATAAATTGCGTTTAGCACCGCGTCGGGGCCACTGTAGACTCTCTCGCTGTAAAGCAGTGTGGTATAATAAAAACAAAAAAAGTGAAATAAAGAGAAAACGAAGAATGAGACTGTGCCTCTTATTGTTTTTATTCAATAGTCAAATTTCTTTTGCTCATTCATACAAAACCTAAAAGCTTTTATGCCGTTTTGTTTATGACAGTTAAATTTATTCACTCAGGCCAGAAGCAGTGCAAAATTTAATGCGTTCACATCTGTTCTTTTGCGTAACTTGCAACATACGTATACGATTTTGTTTTCTTTCTTAAACTTTGAGATCTTCAAACAACTAAGATACTCAACTAGTTCTTTAAAAGCATGAAGAACACGTCTTTTTTACAGTACATTGTTAAGGCGTCCATTCTTCTCTTAATTAAATTAGAAATGAATGTTTTTTCTCTATGTTATTTAGATGGTTACAACGATGACGTTCGACAAACGCAGAGATGTCATAATACAGCTACAGAAAGAGGGGAAGGGGAGATCCTGAGAGTAAGTCACGAGATAGCATGTAATAAACATGAGCCTTGCGCTTTGAACCACAGTGGGCAATTTTGCCTAGGCATGTGGACATTGGATTTTAAAGCGCTGGAAAGATCTCTCAGATATGTTTTTGTAGGTTTTCGAGTGTGCTCTTTCTAATGGAGTCACTGACAAAGTT